TTGTTAGTGCCGGAAACTAGGTAGAAAATTAGTTATTTTTGAGCGTCGTCGTAGCAGCTCGATCTCGCAATCTCCTCTTTAAAATATGTAAATAATAAGAGGCGAAAGTTGCCCGAACTCCATTATTACAGGGAACACGGCACCTGGGGGTTAGCAAGGATTGCTCCAGGATTGCTTTTGTCCGTTTCGGGGTTTACGAAGCCCGAATTTTACCGAAATAAGAGTCGGCGGCCCACCTGCAGTCGAAGAAATCGGGATCCTCGTGAATTATCGGCAACCTGTCTGGCGATAATTTCCACTTCATTTCCATAATTAAGTTCAATATATACCTTGAAAATATGTTCGAGTTTGAAAAGTTGCTTTAATTTAGCACCTAATGAAGTCGTAACCGTTAAGCTCGAGGTTTTGAAGTCAACCCAAGGGATTCCTGAAATTGAAACTTCAATTCACGAATTAAGCTCCGAGTTTACTTTCGCTTATTAATTCTCGCTAAAAGCAAAACCAAGAGGCTTTATGGAAGTTTACGTATCTAAACTTTCGCTTTATGCTAGAGATGAGACGAGGGGAAAAATTCCAGAGGAAATAGGCAAAATTGATTGCTGGCGGGGATTTTCTGATATATAGTACTTTGATTAATAAGTTTCATCCAGATTTTGGATCGACGGGGCGGAGATTACAGGCTTTAAATTGTGAAGTGGGGCGTTAACCCTTCACTTGGCAACGTATCTTACTTTGCTTTTAAAATCATACCTGTTTACTCTTGGTATTGTGGGTCAATTTCTTTGAGCAAATATTCTCTATAACTTGACGTTTATGTAAACTATGTTTAGATTTTCCGCTAAAAAACTTACCCTTGCTTCTTGCACATACAACATTTCTTATCGTTGCTTGAGAACTTGTTTGATCTGCAGACCAGTGCGCAGTCAGGCCAATGACGACCTTAAGCGTTCAGAAACGATTTGATCTATAAGCCATATTCCGTTATCTGAAACACATCCTAACCGGTCGGATTTTACAACGAATAAGTGAAGTGTTTAATTAAGAAATAATTCTTTAATTATATTTTCTAATTTAAATTTTTAGCAATATAGCAACAAGCTTAAGAGCTCTCAATGATATTCGTTCATTTGTTGATTTCTTATTGTTTTAATAATGTTCAACGAAATAAACAGGGTCCAACCATAAATCTTATTTTGACATCTTAAGTATAATAAAATAAAATTACTTGACAACTACTTTAAATGTTAAAACGTAACATAGTACTGAATTTGTGGTTTAAGAAACCGCGTTGAATTTTTATCCTCGAAATTGAAATTTTTCGATTTTTCGGATATTTCCGGTTTTTTTTTTAATTTTTAGGATTTGTTTGAATTTTTTTGGGTATTTTAAATTCTTTCGTTTTTTGGATTTCCCGGATTTATTGGATTTATTTTTTTATTTGGATTTTCCTAATCTTTCGAATTTATTTTTTTAATTTTTTTGGGTTTGGATTTTTTGAATTTTTGGATTTCAAATCATTGGATGTTTTAAGTCTCCAGGGTTTTCTGGTTTTGTTCCATTTTTTTGGTATTTTGAATTTTAGGGATTTCTGGATTTTTCGGATTTTATTTTAATATTTTGGATTTTTTATTTTTTTAATTTTTTGGATTTGTCTGCATTTTCTTGGATAATTTAGATTCTTTAGAATTTTTGGATTTCCTGAATTTCTTGGATTTGTTGTTTTGTTGTTTTGTTTTTATTATTTGGATTTTCCTAATTTTTTGCATTTTAAAAATTTATTTTTAATTTTTCTTGTTGATTATTTGGATTTTTTACATTTTTTGGATTTTTCTAATATTTTGTTTTTTTTTTAATTTTCAGGATTTGTTTCGATTTTCTTGGATATTTTAAATTTTTTGGATTTTTTGGATTTCCTGAATTTCTTGGGTTTGTTTTCTTTTATTATTTAGATTTCCTTAATTTTTCGGATTTCTCGGATTTATTTGTGCTTTTTTGGATTGTTTGGATTTTTGTGATTTTTTCAGTTTCTAAGGTTTTTTGGATTTGTTAGGTTTTTGATTTTCTAAATTTTCGAACTTTACAGATATATACTTTTGATTTTCTTGAATTTTTAGGATTCTCTGAATTTTTTGAATTTTTAGTTTTTCGAATCATTCAGCTTTTTCAAAATTTTCGAAGTTTTCGAATGTTTCGGTTTTTTTATGTTTTTTAAGATTTATTTATTTTTCAGCTTTATAATTCTTCCATTATTCAATTTTTTGATTCAAAAATTAATGGATCGAAAAATTGGAAAAAAGCAAATCAAATCGAAATATGAAAAACCTGTAAAATCGGAAAGCGGAAGATTGAAAAATTAAAAATCGAATGAAGGAAAAGATTTTTCAGTTTATCAATTATTCAATTTTTGGATTTTACAATTTCTCAATTTTTTAATTTTTCTCCTTTTCAATTTTACGATTTTTAAATATTTTGATTTATCAATTTTTAATTTTTATAAGCTCTCAATTTTTCGATTTTTCAATTAATCAATGCTTTGATGTTCCCATTTCTGGACTTGTTCGATTTTTCAGTTTTCAAATTCTTCAATTTTTCGATATTTAATTCTTCTGTTTTTTCGATTTCTCAATTTTTAAATTTTTTTAACTTTTCAGTTTTTGGATATTTCAGTTTCGGGATTTTTAAGTTTATTTATTATTGAACTTTTTGATTTCTTCAATTCTTCAATTTTTCAAATTTTTAGGTTTTTGATTTTTCAATTTATCAATTTTTTAAGGTTTTGATTTTCCGACTTCACGTTATTGACTTTTTGATTTCTCAGTTTTCTATTTTTCTTTGTCTCAGTTTTTGTATACAGAGTATACTCAGTTTTACGATTGTTCAGATTTTCCATTCAGTTTTTTTTTTCATTTTTCAATTTTTCTTAATTTCCGTTTTGGGATTTTTCAGATAATTTATTTATTCTTAAATTTTTGGATTTTACAATTTCTCAATTTTCAATGTTTCTCCTTTTCAATTTAACGATTTTTAAACATTTTGATTTTTCGATTTTTGACTTTCATAAACTCTCAATTTTTGGATTGTTTAAGTAATCAATGTTTTGATTTTCCCATTTCTTGACTTTCGACTGTTTCGATTTTACAATTCTTCAATTTTTAAATTTTTCGATTTTCAATATTTCCATTTCTCCATTTTCCAGTGTTTCAGTTTTACGTTTTTTCAATTTTTTTCTTCTTCAATTTTACGACTTTAAATATTTCGATTTTTCAATTTTTCGATTTTTCAGGTTTTCGATTTTTATTTTTTTTATTTTTTAAGGTTTCGATTTTTCGACTTCACTACTTTGAATTTTTCAATTTTTTTATTTTTTGGATATTTTAGTTTTAGGATTTTTCACTTTTTCTTTCATTTTTCAATTTTTTGAAATTTCAGTTCTAGGATTTTTCAGTTCATTTGTTATTCAATTTTTCGATTTTAGAATTTCTCAATTTTTCAATTTCACGATTTTCAATTTTTCGATGTTTCAATTTTACGTTTTTCTAATTTTTCTACTCTTCAATTTTACGATCTTTAAATATTTCAATTTTTCGAATTTTTAGGTTTTTGATTTTTCAATTTTTTCATTTTTAAGTAATTTTTAAATTTCTTAATTTCTCACTTTTTGGATACATATTTCAGTTTTGAAATTTTTCAGTTTTTTTTTCATTTAGCAATTTTTCGAAGTTCAGGTTTGGAATTTTTCAAATAATTTATTATTCAAATTTTCGACTTTACAATTTCTGAGTTTTTCAATTTTTCGATTCCCAATTTCTCGAATTCTCAATTTTCCGAAGTTTCAGTTTTACTTTTTTTCAATTTTTCTCCTCTTGAATTTTATGACTTTCGACTGTTTGGATTTTACAGTTCTTCAATTCCATTTTTCGATTTTTCAGATTTTCGATTTTTCAATGTTTTGATTTTTTTAAGGGTTCGATTTTTCGACTTCACTTTTTTGATTTTTCGATTTTTCAATTTTTCAATTTTTAGATTCTCAATTTTTGGATATTTCAGTTTTGGGATTTGTCAGTTTTTCCATTCTTCAGTTTTTCTTTAATTTATCAATTTTTCGATTTTTAAATTTTAGATTTTTCAATTTTTTGAGTTTTTAATTTTTCAGTTTTTAAAATTTTAGACTTTTCGATTTCTCGATTTTCCATTTCCGTTCTTCGATATTTCAATTTTTCATGTTTCTGAATTTTTCAAATGTTTCGATTTCTTAATCTTTCGATTTTACCATTTTTTTGTTTTTTTCATTACTTCAATTTTTAAAATTTTTCTACTTTCCAATGTTTTGATTTCCCGATTCATCCAGATTTGGATGTTTCGATATTTCCATTGTTCAGTTTCTCGGTTTCTCAGTTTTTCCATTTTTTTTTCTTTTTTTAATCTTTGAATTTCTCAGTATTTCAATTTTTCAATTTGTAACTTTTCGATTTTTCGATTTTGGTCTGTTTCGGTTTCTCAATTTTTCAAGTTTTCGATTTTTTGGTTTTTAAATTTTTTACTTTTCGGATTTTCGGTTTTTCGATTTTCCAGTTTTTCGATGTTTCGATATTTCAATTTTTGAATTTTTCAATTTTTCTATTTTTTAAATTTTACATGTCAAAATCAAGTGAAACATGTAACATGTGATATATTTGTAAATAAAATCTTCTAAATATGTACCATAAATGTTCACTTACCTATTCGTTTAAAAATCCGACCAAACAACTATTTCCCGCAGAAATAATACTCCAAACCAACCAAATTTCTTCTGAACGTTTTTAGAGTCGACACTCGTCTGAGCGCGGTCTGGCCTGAAGATCAAACAAGTTTCCAGGCGACGTTAATGTTTAGTGATTTATAGTTTGATTAATTTTTATCTCTATTTACACAGATGTTGGCACAATTTTAGCACATGCAAATCAAACAACATAAAAATCTTTTGCCAAGTTAAGTATTAAAACCGCTTTCCTCATTTCCAGGCGCGATCTTCACCGAGGACCAGAAGGACAGCAGCGTGGAGCTGGCGTTCAAATACGCCGTCTACAAGATCAACAAGGACCCCGAGCTGCTCCCCAAGACCACCCTGGTCTACGACATCCAGTACGTGCCTCGCGACGACAGTTTCCGGACCTCCAAGAAAGGTAAATCGGCGCCTAATGAAATAACGTTTGCGTCGACACAACTTCCGGCTAATAATCTCGTAAAGACGTCTTCTGTCCGCAGCCATAAAATCGAATATGGCTGATTTTGCACTCGGCCCTTCTTTTTGTAGCCGTCAGACTCTAAAACATTAAACCTGATGTAATAAACGTCTCGGACATTAGTTTATGGCTGCGCTTTCCTGGATATAGAACTCAATTTGTTCTCTCCGTTATCAGCACCAGCTCAGATACCCGGATTAACCGGATCCGAAATGTTTCTATTAAATTTCACAAGTCCTGTTTTTCGACGGCGAGGCTTCATTTTTAAGGCGCCGACTTAATTTTACGGGGGTCGTAAAATTTAAAAGTGGCCCGTGACGCCTCCACGGTAAGAGCTTATTGTCGATCCACTAGAGATTTTCTTAATATTATTATATTTTCTCACAATTATTGCACTAATTTTTTTAAATAAATAAGTATATCGTATTATTTCTTCGTGTCCTCTTTGTTTTTCTCGAAGCTAGTAAAAAAGCGCCTCCAGCTCGTGAAACCGGGATAAGATAAACTGCACTTTACTGTTAGTGTCATCGTTGTCCTGCAGGAAGGCCGTTTGCGCTGGCTTGACCCAGACCTACCCGATGTTTGTATAAAATCCGGACTTTTTTATTCGATTAGGTTGTTGGCTTTCTTTTCGTATGAATTTCGCGACGAAGGAAAAGTTCCGGGAAGTTTGAGATAGTTGAGTTTGTCGCCGGAAATAAAAATAAACTACACGCAATAAATTGCTAAAAACGGCGAATATTGCTGCTTTCTCTTGTCAACATACACGACCAATTCCGGTTCGGAGAAACGTCCGCTGGGGGCGGTGGCGGCGGCGGCAGGGGCGGGTTTTCAAAGGAAATTATAATTCAAGTACAAAACAAAACGTAGAATAAATTTTGATTAAAGAGTTGCTTATGGAGAACAGTAATAACGGATTTTTAAAAATTTGTCGGAAAATCGTTTTAGTATGTTGCTGGAAATTTAAATACGGTGATATTAAACAGCGTAAGGTTGCGTTGTTATTCAGGTTAGTTAAAGTAGATAACAATGGGGCGAAATAATGGTTAGTGACATAATTTATCTTCTATACAGAGAAAATTAAATTGTTTTATTAATGGGAACAACAAAGGCACAGATTCGAACTTAAAAAAATCTCGAAAACGTTGTTTTGGCAATCAGCTTATAACTCAGAATTTTTTATGGATTTTTAAGCAGCTAAAAGAGCAATTTTTCATTTTTTAAAGCATACGAAATTTTTTACCTTTTTTTGAGCATTTTTGAAAATTGCCTTTTTTTTAATAGATTTCGACTTCCACTAGTTATTTTCGATTTCATTTCTGCATTTTTACAGAATTTTTAAGAGATATTTGAAAAAAATTGAGTTCCAAATCAAGTATTTCGAAAATCTCAAATTTGGTTCCATTAATACACTGTTTTTCGATTCAGCTCATCTAGAATTTTTTGTGAATTCTGACGTAACTTATTCAAACGCAATTTTTTTCAAAATTTTGCAATTTTTTACTTTTTCTTGAGCAGCGTCGAAAATTAATTCAAATCTTTAAAAATTTTTCTGCAATTTTTAGGATAAAAAAAAAACCCATACCGAATATTAGAAAATCTTGATCTGGGACCATAAAGATGCAAGCTCAATGTTTCGATTTTTGAAATTTATGAAATGTTGACCTTTTTTAAGCGCCTTCTAAAATTACTAAAAGTTTTTTTTTATGGATTTCGACATTCAAAAGTTATATTCAATTTTTAGTCCGAAAATTCCCACCGTTTTTCCAAAATTTGAGATGAGGGAATTTTTAGTATTTAAAAAAAATAATTTCAAATCTAACGTTTTAAAAAAAATAAATTTTTTCGAAATTTTTTACCTTTGCTCCAACAATTTTGAAAAATAATTAAAGGAATTTTTTTTGTAGATTTCTACTTCCACCAGGCGCGGATCCAGGGGGGGGGGCAATGGGTGCAATTGCCCCCCCCTGACACACGACCGAGGTCCTTTATTTTGACCAGTTTCAAAATTTTGAAATCATATTTCATTTTGTATATACAGTACAATCTCTAGAATCCGAATTCATGATTGTCTCAACATCCAGTAATCCGAACAGAGGCTATTTGAAGTCGATGCCTCTTTAATCCGAACAAAAACTCTGCAATCCGATCTGAACTTGAAAACGTGCATCTACTTCCAAAAATGACGCAAGATCTTTCTGCATATGTTGTATGGAATATTTTGAAATTTTTAAAAATTGCGATATTTCAAAGCACTGAATTAACTAATTCTGGAAAAACGGATGAAGCTATCGGAGACCCGAAATCTACAAGAGAAAGTATTTAGTTAAATTTCGAAAAAATTTTCTAAAAATTTTGAAAAAATTCAGAGATATATATCCCAACGTGCTGATTCCAAAAATATACCATGTTTATGGTAACGGAGCAATATTTTCGGAAAATTCGCTGCGAAATTCGAATTTTTCGAAATTTTTAAAAATTGCGATATTTCAACGATTCTGGAAAAATGGTTTAAGTTATCGAAGAAATGAAGCCAGAAGTGACTTCTGAGGTCCAAAATCTACTAGAAAATACATTTAGTTAAATTTCGAAAATCGAGAATGGGTCGAAATTTGCATAATGGAGGTAATACGAATATATAATGGAAAATTTCATTTTTGAAAAATTCATCTAAAGCGTGTTTATGGTCACGGAGTAATATTTTTTTAGAATGTATCTATTATCCACTGTTGCTTAAGAATTCTTTAATTTTTGTTTAATAAAATTTAGGTTTATTTCTTGAAGTTTGTTTTCAGTTGTGTATGAAGTTGTTATTCAATTCCCTTTCAGATTTTTGAGAAAATTGCTGATCCAAACAAATCGTTAATCCGAACACACCTTTTTCCCAATTAATTAGGATTATCGAAGTTCTACTGTACACTATACGTGTAATGAAAAGAACCAAATGTCACCCATGTTATGTGAAAAAGAGTATACTAGCTAAAATTTTATAAATTTTTTTTGTTTAGAACGAATTTCTGGTAGATGGTAAAATTGCACAAAAATTGCCCCCCCCTGAACGAAATCCTGTATCCGCGCCTGACTTCCACGAATTATTTTCGCCCTCATTTCTTCCAAAACTACTATTTTTGTAGAATTTAAAATATGAAATCTGGAAAACTTTAGCGTTTAAATAATTTTATTTCAAACTGAATATTTCTATAATCTTAGTCCAACACCAGCAATACGCTGTTTTTTGATTCAAGTCATCGGGATTTGTCACAGAATTTTCCCTTTCCAAAAATTAATTTTTTTCTAAATTTTTGAGTTTTCTTGAACAACTTCGAAAATTAATCTGAGAGATTTTTCTGTGAATTTGTACCCCCATAAGTTATTTTCGGATTCATGTTTTCCAAAATTCGAAACATTTTTCAGCATTCTAAAATATGAAATGTATCAATTTTTAGTTTTTTAAAAATTTTGAATTTCGAAACCATATTTCAAAAATCTTACTCCGGGTCTACCAATACGCTGTTTTTCGATTCAACTCATCGAGATTTATAAGGCAGAATTTTTTGCCAATTTTTAGGCAACTTTTCCAAAGGCTAATTTTTTTAAATTTCGATTTTTCTTTATTTTTGCTCGAATAATTTCAAAAATTAATTTAAGAAATTTTGTATGTAGATTTCTACCTATATTAGCCAGCTATCTTCGGCATTATTTCTTATAAAATTCCACCAATTTTTCCAGATTCTAAAATATGAAAGCTCCCAAATTTTTGTATTCGTCAAAAATTTTATTTCAAACCGAAAATTTCGAAACTCTTAGTCTGGGCCCACCAATACGCTGTTTTTCGACTCAACTCATCGAGATTTATAAATCAGAATTTTTTTGTGAATTTTTAAGGAACTTTTGCAGAAGCTCATTTTTTTAAATTTCGAATTTTGTTACTTTTTCTCGAATAATTTCGACAATTAATTTAAGAAATTTTGTATGTAGATTTCTACCTACATTAGCCAGTTATCTTCGGCATTATTTGTTCCAAAATTCCACCCATTTTTCTAGATTCTAAAATATGAAAGCTCCCAGATTTTTTGTATTTCTCAAAAATTTGATTTCAAACCGAAAATTTCGAAAATCTTAGAGTGGGCCCACCAATTCGCTGTTTTATGATTCAATTCATCGAAATTTATATCGCAGATTTTTTTTGTGAATTTTTAGATACCTTTTCCAAAAGCAATTTTTTTTAAATTTCATTTTTTATTTTTTCTCGAATAATTCAAAAATTAATTTAAGACATTTACTTACACTTCTTCCAAAACTACTACTATTTTTGTAGAATTTAAAATATGAAATTTTAAAAATTTTAGCATTTAAAAATTTTTATTTCAAACTGAATATTTCGAAAATCTCAGTCCGAGACGAGGAATACGCTATGTTTTTCGATTGAAGTCATCGAGATTTGTCACAGAATTTTTTGTGAATTTTGAAGCAATATTTCCAAAAATTCAATTTTTTCGAAATTTTTTACTTTTCCTGGATGACTAAGAAAATTAATTTGAGAGATTTTTCTGTAAATTTTTACCCCCATAAGTTATTTTCCGCTTCTTTCTAAAATCTGAAATGGGTAAATTTTTAGAACTAAAAAAAATTGAATTTCGAAAAAATAATTCAAAAATCTTAGTCTGGGCCTAACAACACGCTGGTTTTCGATTCAATTATTCAATATTTATATCGCAGAATTTTTTTTGTGAATTTTTAGCCAATTTTCGAAAAGCTCAGTTTTTAAATTTGAAAATGTTTTACTTTTTCTCGAATAATTTCGAAAATTAATTTAAGAAATTTTGTATGTAGATTTCTACCTCAATTAGTTATCTTCGGCTTCATTTCTTCCAAAATTCCAACAATTTTTCCAGATTCTAAAATGTGAAAGTTCTCAAATTTTTGTATTTTTCAAAAAT